TCATTTTTGCATTGACGCGTGGGGGTGAGATGCGTAGGGGCCTGGGTTTTTGTAGGAAATTGTTGCGGAGCGGGGCTCGGTGATAGGCGTCTGAATTTCTGCAGGGACTGAAAAGGGAGCAAAGCCTACATTTTTGCAGAAACCTGTGAGGATCGGGTGGTGAGAGGTTATGATCCTGAAAATGTTCGAGAAACTGTAAAGAGTTTGAACGTGAGCATTTTCAGAGCAATGACTTACCGCGCGGGTTGCACCTGACGCCGCCACGCTCGGCCTTCGGGAAGACGCCCAGGGACCCCGGCGGCCTTGGGGCGCGCGCCGCCGGCGTCCAGCACCTCGGACAGCGCCGGGCAGCGAGCCGAGCCGGGGCCCCTGCACGCGCCCGCCCTCTCGGCCCGGGCCGCTCCGCGTCGCCGCCTCCAGGGCCGGGAGAAGGGACTCCCGAATCGCAAACGCTCAGCTTCTGATCCGCCTCTAACTGCTTCCCGTGACTGCGGAAGGAAGAGGCGGAGTATAAAACAGCCCCACGCTTCCGCGAGCGCTACCGCCGAACGGTGTGGCCGCCTGGATTTTGAAAGGCGTTCCCAAACTCGTCAAAATCTAGCCCTTACTGAGCGCTCACATGTGCCAAGGCCCTGTGCTAAGCGCCCTCCATGCGTTCTGCTGTTGTTACGCACGCGGAGAGCTTGGGTGCTGTTATCCCTGTTCTGCCGATCTGAGAACCCGAGCAAGAGAGGCTCAGTAACCTGTCCACGTCTGAACAGCCGGCCGTGGTGTACCGCCCCGGTCAACCCCGCGCCAGGCTGCCGCAGTGGGAAGGTGTGCCTGAGCGCGCGGAAGTCCCTCCTGAAAGCTCCGAACTTGGGTTCAGAGGGGCACAGTTTGAATCAAAGCTGTACCACTTACAAACCTGTGCTCTGGGGCAAAATCACCCAACCTGTCCGAACTTCAGGCTCTGTGTCTGTAAGATTAGGATAATAATGCTTCCTTTGCAAAAGTGCAGGGGAAGATGGTCAAAGAGATCATGTATGCGGAATAACTCTGCAAACTGCAGATTATGGTTGGGAAGTGGGGGCCAGAAAGAGGGGAGCAGGTGACTGAAAGAGGAAGAGGGTAGGTGATGGATGGCGGTGGCACTGGGGTGGGGGCTGGGCACCCCAGAGCAGGGCTCAGAGGGAGGATCCTGGATGAGTTTGATTCAACATAATTCCCTAGATATTTACAGAACTTTGTAGAGAGTGTTCCCATTTGGCCTACATTTGATCCTTACAGCAATCTTGTAAGGCAGAGTTGGAGTTCTTCTATTCAAATGATACCTGCCGGTACTTACACAGCCACCGACCCAGTAGCAGGGCTGAGATGAGAATCCACGTCGCCCGCCTCTCTCCTCTGTAATCTTCCTGCCACAACCATACATCCACAGGAGCTTGGATCGTGCAACGATTACAGACCTAGAGTGCATTTAGAGAAGCGCTGTAAATATCAGGTGCAACCCCGTGAAAATGATTTTGCAAACCACTGTTTGACCTACGGAAACAGCAAGTTCGTATAGATCAACCGAATACCTGCTCATCGATTCTATTTTATTTTGTTCCACAAAGACTTTAAGGCAATTTATAAAGATCCACAAGATGTCAGTTTGACACATATCAAAAGTAGTTGAGATTCATTAAGATATAATTTGTGCAAACGTACGTGTACAAATATACGAACAGCCATATGCTTGTCTCGCTGAAACTGCACTGTGTAGAACATGTTCTTCAACAACAACAGAAGAAGAAGAAGGAGGAAGGGGAGGAGGATGGGGAGAAGGAGAAGAGGAAGTGGAGAAAGTAGGCAAGAAACAAGATTAAGGCCATAACCAGAAGTAAGATGAATACAAAACATGTGTATTTTAGAGCCCTGGAAACTTGCTCTGGGTCACTAAGTACAGTAATGTGTATGTCCAGTGCCTTTCTCGGGAATATGAGACACTTTGTGGACGTTTGCAGGAGTCTGTTGGCCCCCCTCCTTTTGCATAGTTTCCCCACTAGGGTCAAATACAAGTTGTAGTGAAGCTAAATGCAATGCCTCAACCCTCTGATTTACCTCGGTGCCAAACAAAGGAAGTTTAACTGGAAGCCGATGCCAAGGTGACTCAAGGAAGAAGAGATAAAGCAGATGGTTTTCTAGCTGCACTGAAGCAATTGTTGGTTACCTTGTTGGTGATGGCTCACGGAAGCACACCCCACTTAAAAGTTTATGAAAAGGGCTTCTTCATCTATTAGCTCATTGGATCCTCCTAACAAACCTGTAGAGGTGAGAAGCTAGGAAGTGATGGAAAGAACGAAAACACAGCATCCTGACTTGTATTCCAAGTATTTTTACTTTTATGCCTAGTGTCATAAACCCATATACCTACAGAGGCTAGGTAAGTAGCCTGAGTATAGGCCTCAGGCCAGCTGTGGGACTACAGAGGATGGCGAGGCCTTTGCCAAACTGAACAATGAATGATTTGTCTTAAAACATTCACATTTAAAAAATTAAAACACTATGCCAGTCAAGCAAGGTGGCCCCCTGGACCACATTTGGCCCTCGGCCCTTTACTGCGCAGCCTTGATCTACGCTGCTCAGGCTACGGACGTGGGGAGGCACGGGAGGGAGAGAGCCTGCATTCAGCAAGATAAAAGACTCAGTCTGTCTTTAAATTCCCTATGTCTAAACTGGGAACGATTGGACAAGATGGCTCCTCGCAGCTTCAAAAATCTTAGACTTTCATAATTTTGTGGACAGTAAAAGAATCCAAGGGTTTCTGGACAAAAAAGGCATCTATTTCCACCCACCCACCCCCTCCATCAGAGAAAGCATCGTTTTATTTTTTCGGTGTTGGTGATGTTTTAGTTTTCGGCATTTCTCTTCCAGTCCCTGTGCCTTTAGAAGGTGTGTTCGCCCCATTGTAGTGGGGTTGAGGGGGACAGAAAACAGCCCTGAGGAGTGAATGGGAGAAGGGTGGGTTGGAGGGGCACAGAGGGCAGACAACAGGGAAGGAACCAGGCAAGTTTTGCTCACTTCTCAGTTAACTCTGTTTCGGAAACACGTGAAAAAAAAACACCCCACTTTGGGGCTGCTAATTTTCAAACATGGTGCCTAGCGCAGTCAAAGTGCTTGGGGTTTCAAAATTCTGGGCATGTGTCAGCCCCGTTCGGTCAGGATTGCTTCCTCTCCTCTGACAAGCTGAGAAACCACGAAAGGCATCCGATCTTTCCTGCATTAGGTGTTCCTAATATTCATTCTCTGCCAAGCACAACAGGAAATAAATTCCCAAATTCAAGTAAATTAGACCTTGGTTGACTCCCACCCTCCAGTGGATCACTACTCAGTTCTGCCTATAGAATGCCTCTCCAGCTTGATGCTCCTTAACCTCCTCACTCTGGTGCTTCTGACCCTCTTCATCCCTCAGAGGCTCCTAGTGACCTCCAGCCTCCAGCCAGACCCTTCCACGCCCGACTTCTCCACTTTTTTCCATCCTTAATGCCTAGCATGCATATTGACACTCAGTATATATTTGATGGTGAATGAATGAATGAGCAGGGAACGCCAGTGTGCCAGCCACGGTTTACTTTATTGTAAGTAATATAAATTCATTCAAGTTTCATAAATAAAGACATGTCAATTTGTCAGCACTTTATGGGGTGATAGCACCCTGGGGAGTAGGAGTGAAGGAATGAAACGTGGAGGGGAGAACGAGGAGGAGCAAACACACGGGGGACATGGAGCCAGCCGTAGCCTGACAGCAGGCTCAGTCTTGTGGAGGTCACATCGTCTCCTGCATCTCCCCCAGATCCTTGAAACCCACCAACAAGAGGCTCTCGGGGGAAGAAGGGGAGAAGAGTGCCTGCCGTCTACCTCCCACCCCACCTCCTCTAGTCAGCAACCGGTCTAGAAAGGGTTAATGCGCTCACAGGGATGTGCCCAGTCGCTTCCTTGGGGAAACCGTTGCTCCTGGTCAGTTGAAACCAGGGGTGGGGCTCAGGCCACCTGTCACCGGTAGCGCTGACCTGACCTAAGGCGGGGGGGGTGGGGGGAAAGGTGCACACCTTGCCAGGTCCCTCAGGCCGGAAAGCCAGGCAGGGGGCCAACACCCTGAGATGGGCAGGTCGGCCTGACCATGTCTGTCTGGGGGATGCAGAAAGCGGATGGCAAGCCTCTTGTCACCCAGTGTGAGGCTGAGCTACGGGTCTGAGTCTGTCCTCACTCAAAGCTCTTGCATTTTTGTCATTCAGGGATGTCAGCTGGGAGGCGCACAGTGAAAAAAAAATGGTTGTAGACAATATGAAAAATCCTCCCTACATGCAGAGCATGTCATACCCATGGATATGTGTCTATGGATACGTGTCCATACACGTATGGATACATCCATGGGTATGACAACCAGAACGCCTTGTCTCCGTTCTGTTCTCTCCTTAGGCGCTGGGATTTGGGACAAGGCCTGAGCTCAGGGGAGCAGGGAGCCACTGATTCCAAGTGCAGGGAGAGAAGCATCTCCTAGAGATCCCGTCCTGTCCGTTCCCTCTGGCCCTTCCTCCTTTCCCTCCCTTCCTGCCTCCTTCCCTCCCCACCCCGGACCTTGAAGGAGTCTGGAGGGATGTGATCTGCCCCACACGTGACACAGAGCCATAACCCGACAATCCATCCTCATGGCCTTCCCACCCTCCTATTCCTGTCTCTTCCTCCTTTCCTCCGACTCTTCCTTTACCCTCCTTCCGATTATGGTACAGCCGATGAGGGAGAGAAGACCCCGTGCCTGCCTCGGGAGCTCAGGGGGCTCAGTGGGCTCAGGGGGCTCAGCGCTCAGAGGAGGCTGACCCAGAAGATCAAAGAGTCAATGCTCAGCAGAGAAGGTTGCAAAGTACTAAGGAGCCCAGGGGAGATGCAGTATCCAGTTTTTCTTGTGTTGTATTGTGTGCGTGAGTGCGACAGTGAGTGTGGGTCAGTGTGTCTCTGTGTTGTGTGTGTGGGGGGTGAGCGTCTGTGTACTGTGTGTGAGTGTGAGAAAGAGAGAGAATGCAAAGATCGTGTAAAGCATTCCAGCATATGAATACACTACAGTTTATTTTCTCCTTGGTGGGCTGTTTCTAGTTTTGCTTTTTATGAATAGTGCTGCTGGGAACATTTTTGTACATGTTTGGCTACACGGATTTACTGGTAATTTATTGATGTGAATGAACCATCCCAAAATGAGTGGCTTAGAACAATAACCACTTATTCGTGCACATTTCTGCAACTTGGACCAGGCTCTGGAAACTTCCGCCGGCCTCACCTGGGTTCCTTCCCGCAGTTGTACCCAGCTGGGGGCCGGCTGGCTCACACTGTGGCGGTCAGCGGGGCTGGTCAGCTGGGGCTCCATGTGTTCTTGCTGGCAGGACAGCCCACGTGTCTTTACAAGGTAGGAAATCGGAAGCTGCAAGAGGCCTTGCCTCGCAAGTCACACACGGTTACTCGGGCTGTGTTTCCTTGGTCAAAGCAGGTCTCGACGGGAGGAGGGGCAGTATCTCTTTGCAGGTGCTCGGGGATGGGAGGACTTTGTGGCCACGCTTTTCCGTCTACCACAGATATAAGCCCGGGCATGGAATCACCGGGTTGGAGGGCTGGTTTATGCCCCCACCAACAGGTTCCAGTTGCTTTGCGTCCTGATCCATCCCTGGTATTAGACCAGCCGGTCTAATTTCAGCCACGTTGAATTAGACACCATGTGTAGTGGTATCTCATTGTGCTTTAATTTGATCTTCTCTGACTACTAATGAGGCTGAGCACCTTTTTATGTGCTTATTGGCCATTTGCGTATCCTCTTTTGGAGGAAGTGATTTGTGGGAGTTCTTTATATAGCCTGGGTATGAGTCAGTTGTAATCTCACTCCGCCCTCCTGCTTCGATCCTGAGTGATTCTCCTCTTGATTAAAAAGGAAGTAACATTTGAGCTGAGGTTTGCAGGATGATGAATAATTAAAGAAGAGCAGGAGGTCTTGCAGTCAGAAACATGAAGAGTGCTAAAAGGGACAAAAAAGTCGGGCATTTGAGAAGCAGCCAGATTTGAGGTAGACGTGTGCAGGGGATGGGAGCAGCAGTGGGTGATGCTGGGGAGGGCTGGGCGGGAGGCGAGGGGCCTTCGATGGAGCAGAAGGCAATGTTTTCACTGCTCATTCCCTCTCCCTTATTCACTGCGTGGAAATCCTGCTTCAAATGTCCAGCGTGTGGGGACGGACACACCTAACACATAAGACCTTAATAAAGTGCTCTTATTTATGCAGGACCAGAGAGGAGTGGGGATGGCGGAAACAGAAGAGAAAGGCCATACCTCACGCTCGCACACACACCCCCATACACACACCCACGTGCACACACACATCAGTAGGAGCCTGAAGAAGGAAGCACAGAGATGGGGAGACAGTTGCCATGCAGTGTCCCTGGGTGGTAACATTTCTAGAGAAGATCTTGTGGGAACAAACACAACGGCAACGCGATCGCACTAAGGTGTAGCTCTTAGGACAGTGCCTCGTGAGAAGCAGAGAGACACCCTGGACGGTTAACCAGAGTCTTTTCTTCTGAAGAGAGTGGCTTCTCGGAGGTGTGTGCGCGCGTGTGTATGCGTGTGTAAGGAGACCTCTTCTTTACATACTTAAGTGTGGTTTGGGCTTTTAAGAAAATCGCAAGTACCTCTTAATGTGTTAAGAATTTATAAAGGATATGGATCCGTCTCTCAACTTCAGCCAAGAAAGGCTTTTGACTTCCAATGTAATAGAGGATTGTAAACTGATCAGTAACTGCTCAGGGTAGTGGGGTCAGGGGAGGAACGATGTGCCTCAGGTGAGGAGCTATGTCCATCTGCTCAGCAGGAGCCTGGAGGGACGGAGTCCCCGTGGAGGGGCTGTGCCGGCACAGATGTGGGCCAGGGAGGGCCCCCCGTCCTTATCTGCAGAAGGCCTCTCCAGCAGCACCGGGTCTGGGGGCTCCGGGTGCAGGAACTCAGGGACGGACACGGGGACAACCAAACCAGAAAAGCCGGGTTTGGCAGAACTCAGCTGAGGGGGCTCCGGGGTGGGCAGGCGGGCAGTCCCGTCCATCCTCTGCCCCATACCTGTTCATGGGAAGGATGTGGTGTGGCATCGTTCTGGAAGACTAGGAGGAGGATGGAGAGGATTCTGACATCTGCTGGAAAAGTAGCGACTGCAACCTGGAAGGGGGTAGCGAGATTGATTTTGCTTTACAATGACTTTTTTTCCCCTGATTTCTCCCCTATTACAACAGTAATGCATGCTTATTTCAGGAAGTACAGCAAAAAGAAGATGAAAACCGTCCATAATTCTCTTACCATTCTGGTGTGTTTCCTGCTGGCAGAACAATGCAGTGAACGATCCTTTACGAAGTGACCCGTGAGGTGTGTATCGCTGCTCAGTGCTGGGGCTACAGCAGCGAACAAGGCAGACACACACCTTTCCTTGTGGGATGTGACGCTGGTGTGCCCACAGGCACGAAGCATGGTCTCCCACACGACATTTCAGGTAAGCATCGGGCGGGGAGCCCAGCGACGGCCGTTTGTCTTGCTTACTCTGCGCTAGCCCCGGGTCAGCTGCTTTACTGTGGTGAGGGTTTTCTGTACGTGCTCTTGTTCGAGCTCCACCCTGGCTCTATGAGGCGCTGCCATCATCCCCCTGACCCCCCTTCCCCCACACACATCACAGATGAGGAAACAGATGCAGACAAGCCGGATCACCTGGCATCACTTGGGACCAGGTGGGATACGACTGCATCCAGCCCTGTACCAGCCACACCACTCAGGTCACCTACAGAGCACACGACATTCTTCTCTCTTCTTCCCTTGCTAGGTCTGATCGCCACGGTGGCTCGGAGGCGCTGAGGCCAGCATGATGGACGACGACACGGAGCTGAGGACCGATGGAAACTCACTCCTAAAGGCGGTGTGGCTAGGAAGGCTCAGGCTGACCAGGCTCCTCCTGGAAGGGGGCGCTTATATCAACGAAAGCAATGACAAAGGGGAGACAGCTCTCATGGTGGCGTGCATCACCAAGCACGTGGACCAGCAGAGCATCAGCAAGTCCAAGATGGTGAAGTACCTGCTGGACAACAGGGCAGACCCCAACATCCAGGACAAGTCTGGCAAGACGGCGCTCATCCACGCGTGCATCAGGAGGGCTGGGGGAGAAGTGGTGTCCCTACTCCTGGAGAACGGGGCGGACCCCAGCCTCGAGGACCGCACTGGGGCTTCGGCCCTGGTCTACGCGATCAACGCAGATGACAAAGACGCCCTGAAGCACCTGCTTGATGCCTGCAAAGCCAAAGGGAAGGAGGTGATTATTATAACAACAGATAAATCCTCATCAGGCACCAAAACCACCAAGCAGTATCTCAATGTCCCTCCTTCCCCCAAAGTGGAAGACTGGCGGTCACCTCCACTGTGCATGTCTCCTTCGGAGATCGAACTGAAGGCTCCAGGCCTGGGCTCTCCACCCAATGAGAGGGAAGATGATCTCTTCAGCCTCCAAACAGGGCATCTGAGTGGTTGCAACACCGCCAAGTCTCTGAATGAGCCTGGGTCACCCACCAGGAAAGTAGGGAACCTCAAGAGGGCCCGCCTGCCCCAGCTGAAGAGGCTCCAGTCTGAACCCTGGGGCCTGATTGCACCGTCCGTGCTGGCTGCTAACATACGTCAGGACGAGACCCACGGCCCCAGCCCGGACAGTGAGGTCATCAAGAGCATCAGCGATGTGTCCTTCCCCAAAAAGGGGCCGCTCTCCAGAACCAACAGTATCGATGGCAAAGACCCCACCCTCTTTCCCACAGTCACGGAGCAGGTTCTGAAGATCCCAGCCTCCCCGGCACCAGCATCCTGGAAGGCAGCCTATGAGAAGGGTCAGTCTTCCCACCCTCGTCTGGCCCGAAGAGGAACTCTCCCTGTCGACCAGGAGAAGGCAGGTGTCAGTCCAGCAGGGCCCCCTGCTCTCAAAGATTCAGTGTCCCTCAAACGGCTAGAGAGTGATCTGCATGATTTAGACTTACAGGCAGGGGCTGACCAGCTCAGCTCGGGTTCCCTGGAGTCAAGCAAAGGGCCCTCGGACAGGAAGAGGCTCAACGGCTCCCTCCTGGCTCTCTTCCACGGCTCGCGGGAGTCCCTGGACGCTGCGCCCAGCACGTCCCCCAACTCGGCGCGCCGCAGGCCACCGCATCTCCTGGAAAGGCGAGGTTCTGGAACTCTGCTGCTGGACCGAATTTCGCACACCAGGCCCGGCTTCCTTCCGCCTTTAAATGTAAGTGTGAACCCACCTATCCCTGACATCAGATCTAGCAGCAAACCTGCTCCACTTGCGAGCGGCTTAAAACCCATGGTTCCCGTTGCTCCAAGTTCACCAAAGAGAGTTGACTTGAGAAGTAAAAGGAAGCTCCTCAGGAGGCACTCTATGCAAGTGGAGCAGATGATGCAGCTGTCCGACTTTGAAGAAATCATGACCTAGAAGCTTTCAGAGGGGTTTAAAAAAACCAGACTCTGTGTAGTTAACGACAGGCACCACCATCCAGAGCAGCATAGCCGGGCAGACCCTGTGCGTCCCGTGCATCCCTCAGCACTGGTGGCAGGGATGGAGCGGGGTGCAGCTTCCCTGCTGAAATGGTCTCTGGGTTTGTACAGCTTTACTTGAAAAGAGCTCAGGATAATTGGGTTCTAGACACAAAATCACCAAAACAAAATTCTCCAGCGGAAGGAAGCCTTCGGGGTTTGGAGGGCACACTGCAAGTACAACGATCCAGGCCCCCGATACCAGCTCTTCTCCACCAGACGAATAAGAACGTAGATCCCAAGACGGTTTTCAAGGCACGCCCTTTGTAATAAATCTATAAAGTGCCTACAGAGAAGATGAAGCTTTCACGTTTGTCAGGATGTGCAGAAGCTCAACACCACCCCCTGAGCTCTGAAATCTGGTAGCTGTGTTCCGTTCGAAGAAGAAGCAGACCTCCCCATCAGAGAGATGTGCGGTGTGCGGCGGGTCCCCAACTATCGTTACCACGTGTCCCCCGAATCCTGATGGGCCATACTCGGGGGCGCCTGGGAGACACAGCCTGTCTCCCTTCCGCCCTGACACTAGCTCTGTGCCGAAATCTTGTGAAAAAACAGTCAGGGGCTGTTAATTAATTTGGAGTTGAATGTGATACAATTTCCAGAATAGACTCGTTTCTTGCTTGTTCTTAAGAAAACTTGATGAGATTCCCCCAAAGCCAGAATGATAAATAATGATGGGACAGGCACGGACAAAGAGCACAAGTGGGTGCTTCTCAGGCCGGAAGCCACGGGACCGCATTGAATTCTGTAGCCTGATCATGTTAAGGGGTGCGGGACTGTCCTTTCAGCTACTCTTGTCTAGGTAATTCAAGAAAAACCCAGTTTCTGCTTTGCCTGAATTATCCACATGATGGGAGGTTTGTAGAAATGACCCGAACGACCCTTTCCAGCCACGTTGCACACACCCAAGAAGGGAAGCAGAGACTCAGCACATGTGGAGTGATGTAGGCACATTTCAGATAAAGATGTTCCCGGTTATCTCCCAGTTACTTTACCTTTCCTGTTGCTCAGATATGTTGGTTCTAGGGTTAGAAGAATTTGGTGGTCCCTGGGGGTTGTGTACCTCAGAGGAATGAGTAAAGGCTCTGAGATTTGGGTTTGCATCCCTGTTTCATCATTCACCAACTTTCCACTCCTGCATCGGCAAAATGGGGTTGGCAGTGCTCCACCTTGAAAGGGCGAGGGGGATTGAAGTGCCCGCTGCTGAGCCTGGCACAGACAAGTAACTGGATAGCAGGTAGCTAATTCTGATTCACATCTTCAGAACTCCGAAGCTTCCAAGTCCCAAATAATACATAATACCCCACACAAGATGGAATTAAGTCCAGCTGAAAAATTCAAGTGTCTCCTTGAGATCCCCAGTCGTGCCCTAGTACTGAGCCCGAAGTACGTTGGTAGAGTAAACTACATTCTGCCACATCGGCTCTACACATTACAGCATTTCTATAATGACATCTGCTAGATGGTTATCTGAATATCCCAAACAAAAGTGCGGACGATGCTTACAAATAAACCGAATGTTTATTTCTTAATCATTCCTTCCGGGCAGGCCCATACTCAAACTTGGCACTTTTGAAATTTTAGGCGGATGAGTCTTTGTCACTGGGGGGCTGTCCTGTGTCACTGGGGGGCTGTCCTGTGTGCGGTAGGAGGCTCAGCAGCATCCCTGACCTCTACCCACCAGACACCAGTAGCATCTTCCTCCTAGTTGCGACAACCAGCAATGTCTCCAGACATGCTGCTGGGGGCAACATCACCTCGGCTGATCACCGCTGCTTGAGGAGGATGACAGTGTACCTGGCAGAAATCTGTCAAGACCAACACGGCCGCATGAAGGTGTGGGTCTGGCTGGGTCAGCCCTCCCACTGACTTGAAGCCAATTGAATTGTGCTTTAGTAGGATGACTAATCGATCCATAACTCGGGCCCTTGGGGTTCTTGGCCAGCACACACAGGGGAGTGCTATTAGAATTAGATTTGTACTTTGCAGGGAGGGAAGAAAAGCACGTAAGCTAGTGAAAAGCTAGGGCTCACGAACTTGGTTTAGGGTGGAAAATCCATATGCTTCTCAGGACCGCTGAGTCACGAACGGTCCTTACCAAATGGACGTGATTGCAGGCAAGGAAACAATTCTCCAACGCATTGGAGAGAATCATACCGACAACAATTGATCTCAGCAGCTCATTAAACACACACACGTACCCTCCAACTGTTGTTACTGCCTGCTAAAGCTGACCTCTGCTGGTAGATCTAGCTGTGGGAATCTACTAGATCTCTGCTAGTAGATCTAACGCTGCACACGTGCATTTTCCCAAACCTTTAGCTAAGATTCGAAAGCCTAATTTATGCTAAGTAGTGAATGAGGCACATTCATAGCAATTACCTCAGGCAGAACAAGGAACGTGATGGCCACTCATCCGGAATAACCTGCCGGTCCCATGAATGCCCACAGCAGGTGCTCCAGGGCCCTCATGCCTGCCTCCGTCACTTGTGACCTGTCCATTGGCCTTTCTCTGGACAGCCTCCAGGACAGTACCTTCATCCCTGTTTGATGGTGCATCAGCTGGATTAGATTGTTCCAGACTAGTACGACCACAACACTTCATCACGCTCAATGCAGAAATAGGCGATTTTTGTCCATGTTAACGCACCTCACAAGGATGCTTAGATTCAACTATGTTTTCCAGATCAGAGATGAGCTTTTCTTTCCCGAACCGTAGTATCACTACAAGTGTTAGCTGCAAACTGTAGTTAAGACTTCCTGGAGTGTTTATCAAAATATATTCTACAGCAGGAGTCTAAAGTTTAAAAGTCTGGAGCTTCAGTTTAATTTCTAGATGCCCTGAAGCCGGTTTTTGTTTGTTTGTTTAAACCCACTGTCTTGATTCTCTTAGAATTTCATCAAGTACACAGTGTCCTGCAAAGTGCAGGCTGTGAGTGACCCTCCTCCTTTGTGTGCGTTGGTGCTTCGGACCTACCGTGTGTTGCTTGAACTGGTTCTCTGTGGCATTAGACTCTAGTCTCAAGCTGACATGCTCAAAGACGTGTCCAAATCCAAGTAACGGAACTGCCTAGATATTTCTAACATGTCAATAAAGGATATATTGCAATCCTTCAATAGCATGCCCCATTTTTGGTAGTGAAACCTCAATGACAAATACTACTTTTTCCTTACGACGGGGTTGACACGACTTCCTGGGAATGTCAACCTTAGCAGATGCCCGATATTTTACGCATGCATAATTTTAAAAATTAATTTTTACTTACACAAGTATTGTAGTTTCTTCTTGGTTAAACCAAAGGCAAAGGACAAGACGGTGCATTTCCACAGTGAGAGGTGGGTGTCTGTTCTCTGCCCCCACTGCTTGGGCTCCCTGGGGGGCGGAGGGGGCTACCACACGCTGCCGTCGCTGGAGCTCCTTCCTTGAGTCCTACGTCTAATGTCGATGAGTGTTAACATAAGCTCCTGCTCAAGGACAGAGCATAAGTATCAAGTGGACTAGCCCTTGTCTCTTAGAGTCTGGGGTCTGAGATTCACATTTCATCTGCACTCCCCGATTCTCTGGACAGTTCAAACCTTACCTTTAGGTTCTCCCCTAGACTACTGAAATAACTTATGTTAACAAAAAGAAAAAAAAAAAAGGACTAGTTTCAGTATGTCTGTTTCCCACGTCTGTCTTCAGGAAAGGCAGGCCCATGTCATTTCAAAACCCCTAGAGGAGAGATTATGAGGGACCCTACCGGGGGAGGAGAAACTGATGGGACTGGTGGGGGGGAAGTGATGAGGGATGAGGCCACAGGGGTCCACCTGGAGGGAGAGGGGGCATTTCCAAGATTGATAGGTTAGAAACTTGGGGTCCCTTGAGCGGAACTTGTCTCCTTCCAGAGCAAAACCACAGAGGGGAGAGGCTGCATGATGCATCCTGGGCGGCTGGGCGGGGGGTCAAGCTGGGCAGGAGGGCATGGGAGCTGCTTGCCCTGAAGGAACGCTGCAGCTTGGACAGTGCACACATCAGCATGACTGGTGAGCCCAAACACTGTGCACTGTTGAAGACCGTCACAGAACGGGGCTCCTCCAGGACCGAGATGGACACACTTATTGTCTTTGTTAAGGTGGGGGATGGGGGGCAAGATCCATTTTAATTTGATATAGAAAAGTAAAGAAGTGTGATGCTTCTTACATTCAATGGTAATGAAATGAAATTCATAGTAATCCGTGCTCTATAGCCCATGGAACGCACAGCTAGGAAGGAAAAAACCTGTATCACACTTGGAATTTGCCTGAGGGGGGTGGAGGTCCTCAGACTTCAGGGAACAAAAGGGAGGTAATTGTTTTCCAGCTGTAGTAATACCAGGTCAGGTCCACAGAGGGATTAGTGTTGACAGTTCTCCCTGGGAATCCCTGGGTGCAGGTGGTTCTGGGATCGACTAATTGTGGACAGGGGGTCTGAAGTCCTACAGTAAAAATGTAGCACCACCCACTGGTGACAAAGGTCGGCATTACGTGGAAGGATGGGGAAGGAAGAGGAACAGAAGGGGAGAGGGAATGAAAGGACCTAAGAGGTCAAGGTCCTGCCAGTGTGAACCAGCCCAAAGTAATAGCCCGTGAAGGAAGACCCCCGGGGATCTCCATTCTGGAGCCCTCTGCCTCACTTGGGATGATGGACCCAGAATCACAAACACTCCTGATCTAGAGTACAAAGGATTTCTCATATGGTGAGAGGTAAGGGTCTAAATTAATTTTTTAGTTATCCCATTAGAATTTAATAAGGACTTAATCCATCTTTTTTTTTTTTTGCTGCCTTAGGCACTGTTGGTTGCCTATCTGGTTTGATTTCTCCCTTCTCCTCCTTTCTGTTAGATCCTGATTTTGTTCATGTAGTCACTCAATATCCTTGCCTCTCTTTTGACTGAAGCTAAGCTGCTCCATCCCCAGCTCCCTCCAAGGGAAGTCCTGACTGGTCTGAGTTAATCATGACATTCTCCTTATCAGCGACTGGCTAAAGGATCTAGCCTAAGCCAACCACCATGCGGCTTTCGTGTCAGGGCCTTAGATCCAGAGATGGATGCATGGCCTAATTGGGCCAAGTGGACTGAAGGAAAGGACATACATCCCATGGTTGAAAGATTTTCTCTTCCTTCCACTAGACATGACCAAATAAACATGTTGTCTCAAAGCTTATTTGTTTGGTTTGACAACCCTCCTTTGACAATGAGAGAATAGAGTCTAAGGATAAAGCCAACATGAAGAGGGGGGTAGAGCTGGGAGGAAAGTGGACTGGAGCCTTGATCATGCTATGCCTGCAGCCTGCCTCACATCTGAACTTTCTGTTACATGAAACAAGATATTCTTGTGTCATTTAATCTAGTTAGAGTTGGTTTTTCATTTACTTGGGACACCTTGTGAATTGGTTGTTTATTCAGTCTCTGCTTGAATATTTTATTTTATTTTTTTCAAGATTTTATTTATTTATTTGAGAGAGAGAATGAGAGAGAGAGAGCACATGAGAGGGGGGAGGGTCAGAGGGAGAAACGGACTCCCTGCTGAGCAGGGAGCCTGATGCGGGACTCGATCCCGGGACTCCAGGATCATGACCTCAGCCGAAGGCAGTTGCTTAACAACTGAGCCACCCAGGCGCCCTGCTTGAATATTTTAATATGACAAATATATCAGTACCCCTGTTCATTAATTTTTGGAAAGCCCTAATTGCCAGAAATTCCTTTCTTATGTTGAGTTGAAATGTACCTCACTGTCAGATTCATTCTTTGTCCCAAGTTACACAAGATGGGACATGCAGGACAGATGTACCCTGAGGTACGGGTGGACACAGTGTGCTTGGCGGGAAGCATGCTATCTTTAGAGTCAGGCAGATCCGGGTTCGGCTGCTGGCTTCACCATTAATAAGCTGAGTTGAGTTTGGGCAATATGGCAGTTTGTTTAGTGGCCACAAATTCCTGCCATCCCAGTACGCTCCTCCTCTGAATGTGACTTAGAGCTCCTCCCAACCAGAGATGGAGTCTAATTCTTTACCTTGAATCTGGGCTAGCCTCGGGACTTGCTTTGGCTAACAGAATGTGGCAAAAGTGATACTGGAGGGTAATTCTTGGGGGCGGGGCTTGCTGTTTCTGCCCTGGCTGTCTTGGGACGTTGCCCCACGCCTGCCATACAAGGAAATCAGGTACACTGCAAAGAAGCACAGGATGCATGGAGGGCTGAGCGCTCTAGCCAACAGCCCCCATCAGTTGGCACACATGTGAGTGGGGCCATCTTGGACCTCCAGCCCAGAAGACCCTCCAGCTGAAGGCAGCTGCAGGAATAAGCTCAAGCCAAACTAGCTGAAGAACCAGCCAGCCAGCCGATGCAACCATGAGAAATTGTGAGTCATTGTCGGTTTAAGCCACTGGGTAGTTTGTCACACAGCAAAGGCTGACAGAAGCAGAAATGTGATTTCATTAAACATCTTCTGTGTCAGGGCGCCTGGGTGGCTCAGTTGGTTGGGTGACTGCCTTCGGCTCAGGTCATGATCCTGGAGTCCCGGGATCGAGTCCCGCGTCGGGCTCCCTGCTCGGCAGGAAGTCTGCTTCTCCCTCTGACGCTCCCCCATCTCATGCTCTGTCTCTATCTCATTCTCTCTCTCAAATAAATAAATAAAATCTTTAAAAAAAAAAAACCCACAACTTCTGTGTCTTTATTGTCAAAGGAAAAAAATACTTTTTTTTTTTTTGCCGGTTGCTAGTGAGAATTAATTAATGCAAAATACGTAAAGTGTGTACGTAGCTAGCACTGCGTGCTAAATAAGAGATAGCTGTCATGATTGCTGTTAATGCAAAGTTAACACTTTCTTCACCCTTAGATTTTTATTCTTTGAGGTTGAATCCAGTTTCCTCTGACTTTACCTGGTTTGAGAAGCCTTCCTGGCAATTTACTGTACTGGCCCCCTGCTAATTCCCCCCCCCCCCATTTTATTACTATGTTTCCTAAAGTAGCACAACAAAGGTGCTCTGATCATTGCCTGTGACCGCGCAGCGGTCACCTCCAGCAACAGTGCCTTCCACGGAGCAGGTGCGGAAAGAGCGCTGTTTCTTTATTAACCCTGCGCAAGTCAGGGCTCCTTCTCCAGTTCATCCATTTCCACCGTCTGACGTTCTGCCACCTGTCGATGATCAATCCTCCAATGCTCTGACCTGAGCGAATGCCAAGTCAGGATTCCCGCCTCTGAACATATGCAGGTGTTTTCTTGGAACTTAAACATGGGACTTAACATTAAACCCGGCAAAATTCCTTTTACTCCAGCTGGCCAAGCTCATCTTGCTCTTACATCTGTCGTTTGTTTCTTCCCTTGGTGCGTCTTACATGTGTCCTTAAATCGGGAACTAAGAAATAATGTTCAACAGCACAGAGCCAGGGAAAGAGCCTCAAGGCACACCCCTCCACACCCCTTCTCTGAGTATGGTACAGAGTCAGTAAATATTAACAACGACATTATGAGTACAGGTTGCCTTCACATCGCTTGGCACATTAATGCACAGTCCAGTGTGCCCGGTGGCAGTCCCTTCCCTCTCATCCACGTGGAGGTCTATAAGGGCCGTACTATTCTTGGCTGAAATCAAGACACCCGCCTGATAACGCTGTCCTGAAAACATTCTTAACTGAATAGCCAGACCACAATCGGTGTTTTTTCTCTTTGTTTTACCTGATCATAGAATATAAAACCCTGTAGTAATGATCATACAAAATATCTTCTTGGGCCAATGGTAATGGATAAAGCAGTGAATCAGTTTATCAGCTTTCAGGGCTTTTGAGAAGGCAAAGGGAAAGAAAGAGGGTTTTAGACCCGGAGAAGCTTCACCTTGTCTTGATCGCTGGACATCTGCGTCGCCGTCGCCGAGGGTAAGACCCTTGTTGGCATCCACGTGAGTGCAGGTGTGGGAGCGCGGGTCAGCTCCCGGCACCGGCCGCAGCCCCTGCACCCGGGAAGGGAAGGCAGGGAAGGAGGCGTGTTCAGTGGGCCCCCAAGCTTGGTTCCTGCAGCCTCCTGCGGTGCGGGCACGCCCACTGCTGCACCCCGAGGCCGGTCCTTTCTGGTGGCGCGGGACCTCCGCGGCAGAGCCCCCCGCGTTTCGTGCGGCCGCTGTGGCTGGTGGGGGAGGGGGCGTGTGGCCCTGGTCCGAGCCCAGGGGACGCTGCACCCCGCGGGACCCGGAGGTGCGGACAGCGTCTGCGGGGCCCGCGCGCAGGGTGCCGGGCTGCCC